ATTGTCAGCGAGGCCCTCATCCAACAGCATGGGTGGAGTTTGGGGAAGAGTGATTAGGCCTATATCACGACTGTTATTGTTGATCACCAGAGAACAGGTGAAGCAGGTCTCCTTGAAGCTTTGGATTAGTCTTTGTTGTTATTAATGTAGTTAGGTCGAGTAGGCGTACTGTTGTAAGTCCTACTCGTTCCTATGGTGTGATATGTTATATGATGAACCATGACCGTAGGTGTCAAGGTAGCTTGTGTGATATGGAGGGATTTTGGGGGCCGGTGTAAGATCCATTTTGAGTGCCTCGTGTGTTTGTGAAAATCCCTCCATGTATATACTTACACTTTGTTCCTATTGATTCTTTTAGTTGTACATTGTTAACTTTTTGACTACATTTGAATTGTTAATATTTGTATTTTATTATAGTTTCGTTTTTACCACACCTTCACCAATTCCCCATGTTTCTTCCCGAGCTGCACTTATGTTGTTTTACTTTATACTAAGTCTGGGCGGTAGCCATTTTGGTTTATCCTTGCTTTTGATTGCTTGACCTGTGTTGACTGGAATTGTGCATTTTGGTTGTGAATTGAAGCACTCTTCCAGAATTGAAAACACTCTGTGTTATAGAGCGACCAATTATTACCTTTTGAACGAATCTGTACGTGATCTATCCAGACAGGATAGAATAACATTTATTTGTAGTGATTGGTAATTTTCTTGCATCTTCTATCAACTTCTTTATTTATTGTAATTTAGATTTAATTGATTGAACAATCATTGGTTGAATAGCCGGGTGATAATATTTGTTTAGGTAATGATTTACATTAAATTTATTATGAATTATAGAACCGCTAGTTACCCGATTACTTGTTCTGATTTCGACGGGAAAGGGCGCGTGTCTAAAACCCCCTGTCGGCTATTCTTCAACATCCAAACCGTAGTTTGGAGACTACACGGGTCTTTAATTAAAACTGGAAAGTTTTGAAATCCATTATGAAATCATAGACTGTATAAGCGGCTTTCTCAATGATGGGAAACAGTGGATAAGGATAAATGGAGCTCTCTCAGCGTCGGAATCTGTAAAAAGTGGAGTTTCTTAAGATATAAACCTTGGTCGTCTTCTTTCCTTACTCAACGTAAGTAAATTACCAACTGTAGCAGTTATCCGTTCTACTCTTTGCCGATGACATTGAAAATTCGGTGACCTCTGAAGAGGATGTCAAATAGAATAATATTACAGGATGATCTAAATTCAATGGCTGCATTAACAGATGGGTGGTCAATAGAACTAAATTCTAACAAGAGTGCGGTAATGTAATTAAAAATAACTATGACGGTTCATAAAACTACACAATATATGGAGTCGTATTACCTTAATTAATGAACTATTAAGATCTAGGAGTTATAAAAAGTAGTAACTTCAAAACTATAAGTAAATGTAGGGCTCCTTCTGCAAAAGGCTTCGGTATCTTATGTGCTATTTTCTAGTATTTTCAGATCTTGGACGAAGAAATGTTTAGGGTATTGTACCCGACTTTCGTCAGTCCTCATTTGTAATATGGGATCCAAGCAACCAGTCCTTGTTTCAAATGTGAGGCAGATATGATAGAACGAGAGAAACAACGGTGTGCCAACATGGTAAAGGGTTTCTCTGGCCTGTCCTTTGAAGAAAGACTGAGACACCTGAAATTGTTTCTGCTATATTACCGCAGAGTTATTTTCTGACAACCAGAGCAACCATTTATTTAGGTACATGGAATGTTCGTACAATGTGGGACACCGGGAGAGCCTTCCAAATCGCTGCGGAAATGAGGAGTTACAACTTAGAGGTGCTTGGGATCAGTGAAACACATTGGACACAAGTTGGACAACAACGACTAGCTTCAAGAGAGCATCTGTTATACTCCGGTCATGAAGAATAAAATGCTCCACATACACAAGGAGTCGCATTGATGCTGTCCAACCGAGCAAAAAACGCACTTATAGGATGGGAATCTCATGGACCAAGGATCATCAAAGCCTCGTTCAAAACAAAGAAAGAGGGCATTTCAATGAACATCACTCAATGCTATGCGCTTACCAACGACTACAATGAAGACGCTAAAGATCAATTCTACGATAGGCTGCAGTCAATCATCGAGAAGTGCCCAACAAAGGACCTGACCATTCTGATGGAAGATTTCAATGCCAAGGATGGAGTGGACAACACTGGATATGAAGACATCATGGAACGACACGGACTAGGAGAAAGAAACGAAAATGGTGAGAGATTTGCAAATCTATGTGCCTTCAATAAACTGCTCATAGGCGGCACCATATTCTCACATAAGCGCATTCACAAAGCCACATGGACTTCACCAGATCACACTACGCATAACCAAATCGACCATATCTGCATCAACAAAACGTTTAGGAGGACTATAGAGGACGTGAGAACCAAGTGAGGAGCTGATACAGCATCAGATCATCACTTGCTGGTCGCCAAGATGAAATTGAAACTCAAGAAGCACTGGACAACGGGGCAGACAGTATCACAAAAGTTCAATACGGCCTTTCTTCAGGATACTAACAAACTCAACAAATTCAAGATAGTCCTCAGCAACAAGTTCCGGGCCTTTCATGATCTACTCAATGGAGAAGGAACTACTGTGGAGAGCAACTGGAAGGGGATCAAAGAGGCAATCACTTCAACATGTCATGAGGTCCTGGGTCACAAGAAGCACCACCACAAGGAATGGATCACTGTTGATACACTGGATAAGATTCAAGAAAGAAGGAACAAGAAGGTAGCAATCAATATCAGTCGAACAAGGGCAGAAAAAGCCAAGGCACAAGCTGAATACACAGAAGTAAACAAACAAGTGAAAAAAAGCATTAGACCTGACAAACGTAAATATGTGGAAGATCTAGCAACGACGGCGGAAAAGGCTGCAAGAGAAGGAAACATGAGACAATTGTATGACACGACAAAGAAACTCTCTGGAAATCGCCGCAAACCAGAACGACCAGTGAAAAGCAAGGAAGGCAAGGTAATCACCAACATTGAAGAGCAACAAAACAGGTGGGTAGAACACTTCAAAGAACTATTGAATCGACCAGCCCCAGTGAACCCACCCAATATCGAAGCAGCACCCACGGACCTCCCAATCAATGTTGGCCCACCAACAATTGAAGAAATCAGCATGGCCATCAGACAAATCAAGAGTGGCAAAGCAACAGAACAAGACAACATTCCAGCAGAGGCACTAAAAGCAGACGTAGCGGTAACTGCAAGGATACTCCACATTCTCTTCAATAAGATTTGGGATGAGGAACAAGTACCAACAAACTGGAAAAAAGGACTCCTGATCAAAATACCAAAGAAAGGCGATCTCAGCAACTGTGATAACGACAGGGGCATCACTCTTCTCTCAATACCGGGAAAAGTCTTCAACAGAGTATTGTTAAACGGGATGAAGGACTGCGTAGACGCCCAACTTCGTGACCAACAGGCAGGATTCCGTAAGGATAGATCGTGTACAGACCAAATCGCAACTCTACGGATCATTGTGGAACAATCTATTGAATGGAATTCATCACTCTACATCAACTTCATTGACTACGAAAAGGCATTTGATAGCGTGGACAGAACAACACTATGGAAACGTCTTCGACACTACGGCGTGCCTCAGAAGATAGTCAATATCATACAGAACTCATATGACGGATTACACTGCAAAATCGTGCATGGAGGACAGTTGACAAAGTCGTTCAAAGTGAAGACCAGTGTTAGGCAAGGTTGCTTACTCTCACACTTTCTTTCTCCTGGTGATCGACTGGATCATGAACACGTCAACGTCTGAAGGAAAGCGCGGGATACAATGGACATCTAAGATGCAGTTGGATGATCTAGACTTCGCAGACGATCTGGCCCTTCTATCCCAAACGCAACAACAGATGCAGGAGAAGACAAACAGTGTGGCAGCAGCCTCAGCAGCAATAGGTCTCAATATACACAAAGGGAAAAGCAGGATTCTCCGATACAACACAGAATGCACCAATCCAATCACAATTGACGGAGAAGATTTGGAAGATGTAAAAACCTTTACATATTTGGGCAGCATCATTGATGAACAGGGTGGGTCTGATGCAGATGTGAAGGCGCGGATCGGCAAAGCAAGAGCAGCATATTTACAACTGAGGAACATCTGGAGCTCAAAGCAACTGTCAACCAACACCAAGGTCAGTATTTTCAATACAAATGTCAAGACAGTTCTACTGTATGGGGCAGAAACCTGGGGAACTACAAAAGCCATCATCCAGAAAATACAGGTGTTTATTAACGGTTGTCCGTTGGCCAGACACTATTAGCAACAACGTACTGTGGGAAAGAACAAACCAGATCCCAGCGGAGGAAGAAATCAGGAAGAAGCTCTGGAATTGGATAGGACACATATTGAGGAAAGTACCCAACTGAGTCACAAGACAAGCCCTCACATGGAATCGTCAAGGCCAATAGGTGGTGAAGAGGAAGACCAAAGAACACATTACGCCGAGAAATGGAAATAGACATGAGAAAAATGAACAAGAATTGGATGGAACTAGAAAAGAAGGCCCAGGACAAAGTGGGTTGGAGAATGCTGGTCAGCGGCCTATGCTCCATTGGGAGTAACAGGCGAAAGTAAGTAAGTATATTACCACAGATTACGTGGTGATCTTATATTGGCTTACCGTATAGTGAACGATAACCTTCGTACTAATGTCTTATCTTTTCCTTCCTTCTAAAACCGATCATTTGGATGGATAGTCTAAGGAAATTTGAAAACTGGGATCGAAATTCTATTTATCGCAACGAGTGATGAATTACTAGAATTCCCTACCAGAACACGTGATATCAATACACTCTATTGACATATTCAGAAGAAGCTTGGACATTCACAATGTTGAAAACTGCAAGGATCAATATAGGTCGATAGACCCCTATCCGTACTACTGAAAACCGACTGGGACTCAAGATAAGGTATTGGACATATTGACCTGTCCGGGAAAATCCAAATGAGCGGTACCAGACACTTCCTAGGATGCAAATGTGCATAGAATAGAGTGATAATGACCATCAAATGTTTTTATGTATGTCAATATGTGAGTTAAATCCGAAATAGTGTGGGTCTAGTTTATGTATCTTATAAAATGTATATACTCTAAACATTCTCACTTACTGCAGTAATTATAATTAGTACATACCATGTACATATTTATATTTATATATTGTAACACATTTAGAATCCCACACCGTCATTTTCTAGTTTTAATTGCCCAGTTTACCTCATTTCACTCGACCTGTAATAACCATCTCAGTGAGTATCTGTGATCACCTTGTTCCATTCTGAATGCCATATTTATGGTTTCAATACTGTTTGTTTACAAAAGACGTTTAGTTAATTCATAGTGAAAATATCCCACCATCACAGTTAATCTTGTTTAGATTTTGAAGCAATGTTCAATAATAATCGTGGAGAAAATAGTAATTTGTGTTTGGGCACGAATGTACATCATTTCAAGTTCTCACTTCACATAAACAAAACAGGAGGAATGTTTGGTGAGATAGAAACAGAAGTGTAATCACTACGACCGACTCAGATGCAAAGCTTAGTGTGAGTGTGTTTGTAAATCAAGTGTGAAGTGATACAAATAGTTGTCATCAAGCCCGTAAACTGCAAATGTCTAATAAGATGACGAATAAGTTGGCCACCTTGATTATTTTCCAACCGGTAGTATCATCTAAAGTTTTCATCTGACCACTTAAACTTTCCAGATGCTGCTACTCTAAATAACGTGCATCGTGAAAGGTGGTGTCTCGGTGTATTCAATACTTTTTAAACAATCAGTTCAATAGAAATTTGCAGCCTTGGCTAATGGGTTCGTGTAAATAATCTAAACGTAAGGTTCAACTGGTGTCTCGTGACCGTCGCTGATACCATTACGTGGTGGTCGGGTTTGTCTATCGTAATGAATCAGTCGAGCTACACTGGTTGGAACAATCGTTTTTCAAGGTCTTACCATGTCAGACAGGTCGATTAAAGAGCGGTAAGACTAAAAGCAGCAAACCCAAGTTCCGAGAGCGAAGTCGTACTGCTGACTGTACAGAGGTGTGACAGCAGTAGGGTGTTTCCTTCAGACAACCATCGTAACAGCGATGCTGCCTTCCCACAAGAAAGGGTGGAGTTAGAAAAGGTCAGCCCTTAAATGCACACCTCGCCTTGTCCCATGGATTTCCGTCCCTGGTGATAAGATCTCAACACGTACAGAGCTAACACGTAAGCTACTAACTAAAAGGTTGTGTGTGACCGGTCTCAAGCAGTTGTCCCTTGGGTACTGCGGTCACGCACTAAGACCATCTTTGATTCATTTTCCTTTTCAGGTAGCTCTAGAAGAACCGTTCCACGGTGTTGGCAATCGGGAAGTGATAACCTCCCTCACATCTGTAATAGCACTCATGGTCATTGTGTTCATAAACGATCTCCTTCAATTCCTATTATTCCTCCTACCTCAACTTTCAACTCTAATCTTCCTCTTTTGGCTTCCTCCTCAAGTGTAGCCATGGCTAACAACTGTAATTCTCAAAACACTGTCCAAGGTCTACTGAAACCTCGCTACAAGCAACAAATTAGAGCCTTCAACGTACGCATTCTAGTTCAAATCGGCCTCCTTGACTAAAGCACTAGAATCTCGTACGACTGATGTATGCTGTCTCCGAAACACACATACAGGATCCTAGTGTAGTCATTCACTTGATCTCACCTCGACAAAACGGAGAACCGAAGAGATACACCCTCCGTGTATCTGGTGGCCCGGTGGCTAGTTCTCATGGACTGGCATGTGTAGGCATAGCACCGAGTACGAGGGCAGAACAAGTACTATTGGAATGGATTCCTGGTAACAGTCGCCTGTGTGCTGTTCAGCTAAACGACTCCGTAAGGTCTCGAAAGGATAGGGACACATGTCGTTGCCTTTTCGACGTTTCTGCGTACGCTCCCACTGACTGCAGCCCAGTTGAAGTGAAAGATGACTTTTAAAGAAAGCTTTCTAAACTTCATAAAGCTAAACACTCAGACATATTACTCGTAGGGGGTGACTTTAATGCCCAGATAGGTAGTTTAGACTAAACAGAAAGGCATTTAGGTGGGTATTTTAGTATTCCGGCTCAGCGAACAGATAATGGTGATCGTCTGCTGCAACTGTGCTCAAACAATCGTTTATTTTTAGCAAACACAAATTTTAAGCATAATGAGAGACATCGACTCACATGGCAATCCCCTACACCAAACCAACGATATACTCAAACAGAGCATATTGACACCAGTCATCGTTGGAGAGGCTCGATAAAAGACTGCCGATCGTTCTGAAGTACATAATTAGACTCTGATCATGCTCTAATACGAGTACACACTTACCTGCGCCTCACCGGACGCATTAAAATCACATTAAGATTATTATTATTATTATTATTATTATTATTATTATTAACTTTATTCAATATTATATTATTGGTACAATGTAGAATTTTCAGCACAAAGTATTTCAACAAGTTTCCGTTTCTTTCTTCTTGGTCGGTCCTGGCGATAAATATCGAGTGATCGCCAGTTAGATGTTAGCAGTTCAGTAAATGAACATCTGAATAATGTGCATTCTTTTCGTTGTATAATTACCAGCAACCATATTGTCTCTTATTGAGTTTTTTGTAACTTTGACAACGAAAGGTTGTACACTTTTCAGAAACGCAGCAGAATAGGTTATGCGATTAATAAACATAATGATATATTAAAACAAACAAAAATAGATAACTTGTTGAAATATCTAGATGGCAGGAACAGGTAGCCCAGATGCTCAAGCAGACCTATTAAAGTTGAACTCAGTAACGAGAAAGCCGGAAGTAGATTCCAGGAACAACTGATGTCACTTTTAGGTAGTTTTGAAAACGAGGCTGATTTAGATGTTGCTTGGAAAGATATACAAACAGCTGTGGAAACAACAGAGACATATATTAGTGATTTCGACCACAAGGTCACGAAAAACCCGTGGATTTCTGCTAAGTCTATTGCACTGATGGATTCTCGTAAACTCACCCCGTCAGGCTCTCAGCACGATGAAGAGCGTAAACAAATCAGATCAAGGTTAAGCAAAAGTCTAAGGAACGACCGTGAGCAGTGGTGGGCAACGAAAGCAAAAGAGATGAAAAAGGCGGCTACTATAGGGAACACAAGATAGTTTTTCAGACTAATAAAAGAAACCGGAGTTAATAAGTCAAGTGTAAGTGAAACTATTTCGGAAAAAGACAACACTCTTATCTGCTCTCAGCCCAGACGTCTATAATGATGAGCGGAACACTTTAGGGAACAGTTTAGTTGGCCTTCAGCTACTCTAAAACTACCCACCATTCTCAAACAGCCTGGATGGAACATTGAAGTAGGCCCCTCGACTCTAATTGAAGTCTTAAAAAAGCCATAACTAATCTGAAACAAGGAAGAGCAGCTGGTCCACGTGGATTGTCTCCAGAGGTCTGTAAGGACGGTGGTCCAATTTTAGCGATTAGGTTGACTAATATTTTAGTTAAAATCTGGGAGTTAGACGTCATCCCATCTGACTGGTCGCGATCACTGATCGCCCCAATATATAAGAGAGGGTTAAAATCATCCTGTAACAACCATAGAGGGATTAGTTTAACTAATATAGTATCTAAAATACCAGCCCCGATAACTATCGGACGCCTAACTAAGACTCGTGAACTGCAGACACGAGAGAATCAAGCTGGCTTCAGACCTGGTCGTAGATGCATCGATCACATATTCACCATTCGTCAGGTCCTAGAACACAGGTATACTTATTGGCGTCCGAAAATGATAGTTTTTCTTGACATAAAAGCAGCATTTGACTCGGTAGACCGCGAGATTTTGTGGCAGTGTCGGTCATTGAAAGGCGTACCCCAGAAGTAGATAAACCTTGTGAAGGCTCTTTACTCGAACACTACTAGTCGAGTCAGAGCTTATGACGAACTGTCAACTACTTTTGCAACCTCAAGTGGTGTCCGTCAAGGCTGTCCACTTTCCCCATTTTTGTTTAACTCCATAGATCTACTGATGAAAATAACTTTCTCGTCGACTGAGTTCTCGGATATTGATCTCCTTCCAGGAGGTCCACTTATCGACTTAGAATACGCAGATGACATAGTCCTGTTTGGTGAAGACGCTGACAAAATGCAGAGTCTTCTGGTAGCACTAAGCAGCAATGCTAGAATGTTTGGAATGCGCTTCTCTCCCTCTAAATGCAAGTTGTTACTTCAGGACTGGTCTGCGTCAACACCTGAACTAAGGATAGGGAGTGAAGCAGTCGAACGCGTTGACAACTTCACTTATCTTGGAAGTCTGATCAGCCCTAATGGGTTGGTGTCTGACGAAATCTCAGCACGGATTCGAAAAGTCTGTTTGGCTTTTGCCAACTTACGTCACCTACAGCGATGGTAAGAGATCCTTCTATCAATTGTGGGACGAGTATACTGTGCAGCAGTTTGTTCTATTCTGCCTTACTACTGCGAAGAGCGGCCATTAAGAGTCGAAGATACTCTTAAGCTACTAGTATTTGACCACAGATGCCTTAGAAATATTGCTGGCGTCTGCTGGGATCACCGGATAAGTAATAGCGAGGTTAGACGCATGGTATTAGGGAATGATGGTAAACCAGTTGATGAGGTTGTGAATCTTCATCAACTGAGATGGTTGGTCCACGTGTTACGTATGCCTGGACACCGATTACCACGAAGTGCAATGCTAACCGGTGTTGGAGATGGTTGGAAGAAAGTTAGGGGCGGTCAAGCCGAAACGTGGCATCAGTGCTTGAAGTCACTAACTTTTAGTCTGAGCCATGTTTATAGATGCAGACTACTTGGTTGGGGTCCGTATGACTATCGTAACCAATGGTTGGAGACTCTTGGTGACATGGCTGAGAATCGGTCACATTGGCGTCGGTGTATACACTCTCTATCTTCCCTTAAACTATGAGATTAAAATCGCTTCATATCTTTCTTTCTACGAACTAATTCTTTCTTCCTGTACTATGTCCTTACATGCAATCTTTCTTTTATATATTACCACCTCTGAATTAACTACTTTTATGAATCCGGTGTCCATCTTGTTGTGTTAATGAGGTATGGCAACTTGGACCGATGTGTATATGTGCCTGTTCCTACGTTGTGGCTGAATGTCTTAGTGTCTCGTGACTCATTTTTTAGTCTACATTTTTTCGGAAGGGTGAGAGGAATAGATAGTTCTAAAAGCTGCATATGATAGATGATGAACATAATGAGACGAAACACCAAACAATTTGAAGTTAGGCGTCTTGCTTTCGAGAAGTGAAAGTAATTGAGAATATCATGTATCTAAATGAATTCGAATGGTTTTTACTGAGATAGTCACAAAACGGATGACTTGTTGATGTCATTAAAAAAAATCAATTAAGTTCAGAGTTCGGAGGTAGAATTATTTTACTCAAGGCTTGTAATAATAATTGTGGATCACATGCTTTAACTCGCATAGTAGTCTGTTTACATTATATATATATGTATATATAAGTGGTAATATCTCTTTATGCGTAATCAATTTTAAAACACATGTTATCTAGAATTTAGACGTTTTAGTCGATTATTTTATTACCTTTTTTGAAGAGAATCTTGAACGTAATATCTTTTTTTCAGGATGAATAGTCATTCGTACAGTAGACATTGGAATGGGGTCGGTGACCCTGTACATCCGTTATCACGTACTGGACATTCAGCAGTATCCCATGGACGGTACATCTATGTTTTAAATGGTTACGGCCCTTCAGATGATAAAGTAAGCTGTAGCTCTGTTTATTTGTTTGACTGGATTTATTAGAATCAAATTAATTCGCTGAGTATTCGAATTTTTGTGACCAATTGTTTGATGTTCGGCACGCAAATAGCAGTGGTAATAGTCGATCGATATAGGTTTCATGGTTGTCGAGATTGATTGCGAGTGCATTTTTGTAGCGTTGAGGAGTGAAGTATGTTTGATTTCAGCAGAGAATATATTTTGTCCTCGTACCTGTTTTTGATTGACCGCACCAAATATTCCGGCTTTGTTTTATCTAATCTTGGGTTTATTCAATTTGTTTATTTATTCTCTGAGGAAGTGGCTTACACTAAGTCACGAAACATCAGAAAATTTAAAAAATCGATTTTTTCTACTCAGAATGTTACACATATATTACTTTAATGAATAACAATCTACCCAATGCTCACTTTGAAACTATCAAGTCAAACCTTGGTAATGACGCCTGTTCTCAAAAACGTTTACACAGTAGAGAAGGAGTTTAGGTGGATGGGAAAAAGAGAAAACTAAAGGAAGCTAACCATATCACATAAGTTGCCCTTAATCAGTTGTTTATTTTTCTTAGGAGGTTGGTTTTGAAATGAAAGTGATCAGTGAGGTTATGGGGAAGTAATATAGATGGTTCATAAGATATACTATTATCCGATAGTTAAGATGAAAAATCAGTCAGTCAGCTACAACGTAGGACTAGGCACATATATGCATCGGTGGTTATATTCAAAAGCTCAATTTAACAATTCTTTATCCGTTCACAACGGTCCTAGCTTTTATTTAAACTAGACATTAACCCATTAATTCATGAGGAAACTATAACAGGCGTAATGAAAGTATTAGTAATCAAGTAGAGATAAGTCATATTCAGAAATCCCTAACTTTCGTACTGCTGAGTTATTACTTTAGGCAATTTCGGTTTTATTTGAGTGCAGGAAATTAGTATTATATTTTGCTGTAGTTTGTGGCAATGAACAGAAATGTGCTCACAATCACAATAACTTGATTGGCATAGTTCTTGAACTCATAGATGTCATAGTTGTTCAACAATTCAGCGGAGGATTAAAGGGAAATTTGGGGAAGACCGAGGATGGTATTTTTTGTTAAATGTACGTCAACTGTATATTTTCACCTTACACATATTTCTGAAAGCAAACATGCCTAGTAATCTTTTTCGTGCTAATCTCACCTTTCGAACTCCATGCGGCATTTAATTTCATCAACTGCAATGTTTTGGGAATGTTAAACCATATTGGGTTTGAATGGAAGTCCTAGTCACAAATCAATCGAGATGAAAATCTTGGTTTCCTTAGCTAATCAAATGTTTTTTGATAAAGATATAGATTTTCGTAATGATGGAAAACCCTTTCAGTGAGGTAGTGATTTAATAAGATGGACGGATTTTTATTCAGTTCGGTAATTCAAGTCACTTACTTCCAAGTACAATAAACTTTATCAAGTTATTTGGTGATGTTTAGTTTTATCATCGTATTTATCATACTGTCAAATATTAAGATTTGTGTGATTCAAATTACGTTTCATACAGATCGGTTGCCTAATTCGGCGATTGTATTTTCAATAATCAGTCTATTCTTTTCAATTTCATAATCTAGTCCTGCTTTGTAGAAAATTATACACAATGGTTTAAAAATTCTTGACTCAACTGAACTGTACATTAATGTACGCTGAAAGAGTGAATGTAGAGTTTTGTCATTTACGTAATATTATGTAGTTTATAGTGCGTGGCAACAAACACATATGTACTTTTATTTATTTTGCAATGTATACCATCTTAGTTTGGGCAAATATTTATTTGGTATCAGAAAGGGTTTTGTGGAGATTTTAGTAATTTCAATAGTTGGGGTCATGAGTCAATTACAGATAGACCACCATAGAAAACCTGGAAGCACTGGACGGCCGTTTCGTTCTATTGTGTGTCTGTTATAACCCAAAGCTGCCAATCGGAAGCAGCGAATTATCGATAGGATCAAGGACGCGTAAAACACGTGCGAGCAGCCTAGAGTTCTGATTGGTTCTGCTTTCCACCTAGCCCAGCCAGTTAAGTCCAGAACACAAGTCTCAGCTTCTGCAATATGTATCATATTTCAAACATACTGAGTTTATGCACCAATCATACAGACCACAACGCAGCATAAAATAGAAAATAACATTTGTACAAAATTTGGCCAAATGTGGCTGTGAATGTGTTAGGCAGTGACTAATAGACAGGGCATAATTCAAGAATGGTAAAACGTATAATAAAGGCTCATAGGTCAAAATAAAGTTTATAATGAGAGGAATATGAATGTGGATAGTTGAGTTAGTTAACAATTATACGATAAAAATATGTGTTTAGTATTGGTCCATAAATGGATTCCAAAGTTACCATTCATTATGTTTATCGGGACCTAACAGTGTCATTCAGTTTTGTGGATTAGTTGGAGTTAGACATTAACGCCGTTGGATGCAGGCTCAGTGGTCTAGTGGTTAAGTGCTCGCGCGCAAGACCAGTAGGTCCTGGGTCCGAACCTCGAGTTGCGGGGTTGTAGATGCGTACTGCTGAGGAGTCCCACAATAGGACGAAACGGCCATCCAGTCCTTCCATGTTTTCCATGGTGGTCTAGCTTCAGTTGACTCATGATCTCAACTATTGGAATATTTATCTGTCAAGTGGGAGATGTAAATGTGTGTGGTCAGTGTGTTTGCTTGTTTACTTACTTGCATCCCTCTAATATATATATATATATATATATATATATATATATATATATATATATATATATATATATATATATAATCTGCGAAATTTTCTGGTGCTTTTGAGGGTGGGGACAGTTCTCTATTCTAGGTGTTCTCATATGCCCATAGATTTAGAACCTTTGCTTGGAAAGCCGTTCTCACTGGTGTCACCTGGCTGCGATGTTTTTTTTAACGAAAGTAAGAGGACAAAAAAGCAAACAGATAGCTCTTAAACACGGTTTTTGGAACCAGAAAACCTTGATTCGAAACTAATGATGAACATGAGTTTCAATTTCCTGTAGTATATAAACCTACTTTTTTTGTCATCGGCTAACATGAAACGGCATCTCTTGACTTTGTTACACTACCGTATAGATTAAACTCTGGGATATACTGCTTTAAGTTAACAGCTTGATTTGGTTTGGCGATCCGATCAATATCTCAGGCCCCATATTTATATAAAAAAATATTTGTTTAACGATGTATACTGTTTTTGAACCAGTCAGTTAATCAGTAACAACGTAGAGCTTCGTACGCACGTACATCAGTTCGAGTTGCCATACCACATTAGCACAGAGATGCAGTGGTCGATTCAAATCCCATAGTGGTAGAGGTAATAAGAGTATAAGCAGTAATCGGGAAGATTAGGGTTTGGAGATATTATTTAAAGAGTATAATCCAGTGAGATAAATTTGGAAAGAGAAAAAAGAAACAAGGAGGAATCAGGACATTTAAATTTGGGAGAACACAAAGAGTGTATGCACCTGCGCCATTGCAAACGATTTTAAGCCATGTCATTCAGGGTCTCTAACCATCGGTTATTATTGTCTCGCGGATCCCCAACAGGTAGTCTACACCTATCAACATGACTCAGTCCACTTGTCAGTGACTTCATGGACTTGTGCCATATTTTGGTCTGGCCGCCCCTAGCTTTCTTCCAACCTACTCCCATACCACTGAACATCGTACGTCGAGGCAGTCGGTCGTTGGGCATACGTAACACGTGTCCCAGCCATCTCAACTGATGAAGTTTCACTAGTTCATCAATTGATTTGCCATCGTTACCTAGTACCAGAGAGTTCTATTAGATTTTATATGAAATAAATAATCACTACTTATTTGATTCATATTACTTTTTTTGTGTGTGTTATTCTTTATTCTATTTTCAAAATAAATAAATTATTTAGATGATACTTTTTGAACGAATCGGTTTAACACGATATGATATTATAACAAATTGTATAGAATGTTTACCTATACATTGGGATATTAAATCATTACAAGATCATATGTTCAATGAATTAATTCTATTAACATCTGGTAATAGTGCTGTATTATGTCCAGAATTATTAAATAGAAATAATGAAAAACAATCAGCATGTATTTATACATTTGGAGGTTATTCACTATTAGGTAATATTCATTTAAATGCATTATGTCGATATGAATTAACTCATACTAATCTATCAAAATATATAACTAATGATAATGCTAATACTAATACTAAGACTACTGCTACTACTACTACTAATAATAATAATATAACATCCACTGGTTTAAGACCACATTGTTGCCATGCATCTGTAATTAGTGGACATGGTATTTTAAGTTATTTAGCATGTTTACCACAAGATATAACTGGACATCAATCTATTAATTTAACAATGTTAAAATCATTACAAAGACGATTCAATTATGATTATTCAAATAATATACAATTAAGAAAAAATACTAATAAACATTGTAATAATCTTTTACCATCACCACGTGATAAATTTTGTATGGAATATTATAATGGTAAACTTTATCTATTTGGTGGTTATGGTCCACAATTTAAACCATTATCACTATGGCCAAATCAATTTTATCAATGGCCATATTTATATGATCCAAATGATAATCAAAGTTGGATTATATGTGATAATAATGGTGGATGGAATAATCAATTAATTATTTATGATATTCATCAAAATCAATGGAATTTAATTCATCAATTAAATGTCATTGGGAAATTTCCAACACCACGTGCAGCTCATTGTTCTATTATATTACCTAATCATGGTTGGTTCATTATATTTGGTGGTCGTGGTCCATATACTAATAATCATAATCATATAAATACATCACAACATTTATCAGATTATCGTATGGGTAGATTAAATGATATGTATTGTTTTAATATTAATTTAATGGAATGGACTAAAATTTTAACACCATTAGATATACCAAATATAATAAGTAATCATTATATTAAACAACCAACAATATCATGTATATGGCCATGTGGTCGATCTTGGATGAATATGATTGTTGTCAATGAATCATTATCTATACAGAACGATTCTTCTTTTTCGTCTTCTTCTTGTTGTTGTTGTTCTTCTTCTTCTAAATATAAACCAATGAATGAAATGAATATTCAATTATTTCTACATGGTGGTTATTCTAATGATGAAAAATCATTAAATGATGCTTATTTAATAAATATTCATTTATGTAAACAATATAAACAATTAAAAGCTGAAATTATTCATTCTACAAAAGAGGTCAATATTATATCTAATAATAATAATAATAATAATAATAATAATAATAATAATAATAATAATAATAATAATAATAATAATAATAATGACAATACTTCTTATTTAATGAATTTAAATAAACAACATAATTATTATATTGAATCATTGAATCCAATGAATAATGATACGGATTCAAATAAACCAACTCTAATAAATGGTTATATATGTTCACAACAACAATCAATGGATGATAAGAAATATATTAATTTAAATGTGAATTCATTTGGAGAAATTTTATTCAATGAACAATTGTATATAGATTTAATTCAATTGTATTATTCAATAGATTCAAATTTGATGACTGAATTATTTGAAGCCAATAATCATACTACTTATAATAATAATAATAGTAGTAGTAGTATGATAGATAATTTGAATTTATTTTTACATGATTTCAATTATCATTTATATATGTATCAAAATTCATCTTTTACAGTACATAATCATTATAATTATGAACCTGATAAATGTATAAATCCTAAAGAAACATTATATCGTATTGCTTTATTACATACTATATTTATACAATATTTAAATGAAAATTATTGTTTATATACTATCAATAAAGAAAAAGATAAAGATTCAAAGATGAACTCTACTGCTACTCCGGTTACTAGGACCAATCAACTTATTGAAGATTTAAATAATATATGTGATAATTATCAATCTGATTTAGAATTTACTCAAAATTCAATATTTTCTACATTAATAAGTATGTTTCTTAAATTTATGTTACCATGGCAAATTATTCAAATGATGTTACAAGAAAAAAATAGTTGGTTAACAAATGAATATCGTATAGAATTACTACATAAATTAATACCACAATGCAATATGTATAAAAAGCAACATTTAAAAAATTCTTCATCATTATCCATATATCAATTAGATGTAAATGATCCATTGATTCTTAATAAATTATTATTATTAATGACACCAAATCAAATACATAATCCAATAAATTATTCTACATATAGTGATGATCGTTTATTATCATATATACAACAAACAATCATGTCAATAATAAAATGTTCTCATAGTCAATCACCATTTTATATTGATATTAGAAATACTCCTATGAATGAGAAATTCTTTTCTTCTTCTTCTTCTTCATCATCATCATCATCATGTATTATGATGAAAATATTTAATAAACCAATTCATCGTCATTGGCATACTGTAACATTAGGTTTAGATAGACGTGTATATGTTATTGGTGGAGCTGGCCAGAAAGCATTAGATATACCATTAGAATGTTATAATTTAAATGGACCAATTCAATTAACTATACAATGTTCTATAAAAATAACTAAACTTATTTTATCTAAATTTTTATATACCATAGAATATGGTTTATTAACAATGAATAAGAATGATAATGATAATAATCACAGTATGAATAATGATGATGATGATGATAATAATAATAATAATAATAATAATAATAATAATAATAATAATAATAATACTACAATCTTTCCATATTCTTGTCATTTAAATAAAAATAAATTAAAAATGAATTATTTAATGAATTTAGATGAAAATTTAAAAAATCTTTTAAATTATCATGTGAAATACTTATTAGAAGAATGGTTATTATAATACAGAAATATTATTTTCTTCAAATGAACTATGAATATAACATGTAGATATTCAGAGTAACATTGATATATTTCAGTAGTATATTGTTATTTAAATCATTTAATATACATATTTGAAATAAACAAGAATTGGATAGAACTAGAAAAGAAGGCTCAGGAGATAGAGTGAATTGAAGAATGATGATTGGCAGCCTATACTCCATCTAGGAGTAATAGGCACAAATAAGTAACATATTTGTAGTTTCATCAACTACAGCATGGATTTGTGATAATTCTTTTATTCCAAATAAAATGTTCATCAATTAAAATGAAGTATATCATTTAACTAAGTTTCTTGATCTTGTGTTTGTTACTAGCAGTTTGATATTGTACAATGCTTGTATTATTCATAAATATACAACTTATCATTTTTATGTTTTCTTGTTTATACATTTTGGAATCTGTATGTATCTTGTTTGTTTAATCTGTCAATATTTAAATTGTTTGTGGATAGTAAAATCAACTCGATTTGATTGGGAATAACATGACTGCCTAACTCTTATATCGAGGTCTGTTAGCTGGACATAGATTGGATTAAATCATGCTCAGTGCACGCTGATTGGATAAGAATTAGCCAATCAGCGTTAGTCAGTACTTAATGAACACTAGAAATTTCATGTGAAAAGCTATGAATATACTAACGTTTTCCCTACTACACTACTTACTTCCATCTAACTTTGTTATTTGGAATGTAATCTCTTTTCCTGTACAACCGTAATCTGATTTGGGGGACTTGTCAAGTGAATCGGTGTCCGAGAATACTAAGCAATAGGAATAGCTTGGTTATAACCGTGAGAGAATTATAACAATGTCATACGCGAATGACACCTATCTCGGGTTGCTCTGTCGTGATGACCAAGCAGTATGTGTTCTTTGGGGGTTGTATGGAACAAATGGGATCTTACCAAAGTAATTTGCTACGTTGGATAGATGAGAAAGTACAGAGTATAGAGATACTACCATGTGACCCGAGCCATGATATGCAATCGATTATCCTAGACAGCTCAGCGTCTGACGATCGGTCCTCTAACGCAGAAACAATCCAGCTTGATGAGTGATTTAGGTAAGACTTTGTGTTATTTCATTGACAACGTACTTAGTAGTTCTTACATAGTAGTACTCACGAGTTGAAGTCATCAGTCGAAGAATCATTGAGGACTATGAGGGATTGTCGCTGTTCATTATTTCACAGCAGTGCACACACTAGTATAGAAAAAGCGCCGTGTAGTTTTTCAAGTCGGTAGTCATATTGATACTGTGCTTGTCATAAGACCTAAAACTTCTATATAGTACGAAAAGCTACCTAATTAGCGCCTAGGAGTCCCAAACAAAGATTGAATAACTGGACAACTCTTGGGTGTTCTCAATGATCTTAACAGACGCCACTTCAGCTGTTCGCTAGGAATGCATCATTCGAAACGAGCTTCGTTCTCCGACTTCCGAATGTGATATAAATTTGGTAACTATTACAGTAACGGTGACTAGGTTGATTTGTCTACGAACTATATAATTAAGATAACAGCCCCACAACACATGTCTGGGATGCGTCTTTCTCTAAATGCGAAATACTGTCAGATGTCTCACTAACAGGGCAAAAAGGATCTGTACAGTAGATACTCTAAGTCAGGAGCTTGAATTTATCAACAACTCACTGACCGAGATCGGCTACCCCAGCGCTTTCATTAAGAAGTACATGTATGATATAATAAAGAAGTCGGAGATTTCGACTGTTCGTAAGAAACCTTTATACATGAAAGTGCAATTCGACGGGGATGTGGCTACTGACACTCTGAAATATAGGTTAACCAAAGTAATCACCAGGACATTCTACGCAGCCAATCTTGCGTTGACCTTCTCTTGTCGACCAGCGATGTCTACTCAAACGAAGGATAAGTTACCTGAGTTGGCCTCTTCCATGTGCATTTACAAATTCAGCTGCTCCTGTGGAGATAGCTATATAGGGCGTACTACCAGGCAACTTAGCCAACGAATGAGTGAACATCTACCAACTTGGTACATAAAGGGCCAGATAAAATATATTCGCAGTTCTATATTGGGACATCTCCTTGATAGCGGTCATGCTGTAGATAAATCGAAACCATTGCGAGTTATCTATCGTATACCTCCATCATTTCCCAACAGAGTTCGTTCCCGCCTCCTACATATAGCTGAAGCCATTGGAATTCGTACATATAACCCCAATTTATGTGTACAGAAGAAATACGTGACTCCCCTATCCCTTCCATGGCCAGTTATAACTTAACTAACAATTTTTTTATTATTTTTTAAAAATTTTATTATTATCATTATTTACTTACTTACTTACGCCTGTTACTCCTCGTGAAGGAGCATAGGCCGCTCACCAGCATTCTCCATCCAACCCTGTCCTGGGCAATCCTTTCTAGCTCCGTCCAGTTGTAATTCATCGTTTTCATATCTGCTTCCATTATCCGACGCAATGTGTTCTTTGGCCTTCCTCTTTTTCGCTTCCCTTCAGGATTCCAAGTTAGGGCTTGCCTCGTGATGCAGTTTGACGATTTGCGTAATGTATGTCCTATCCATTTCCATCGTCTTTTCCTAATTTCTTCTTCAGCTGGAAGTTGGTTTGTTCTCTCCCACAGAAGGCTATTGCTGATGGTATCCGGCCAATGGATGTTGAGTATCTTGCGTAGACAGCTATTTATAAATACTTGTACTTTCTTGATTGTGGTTGTTGTAGTTCTCCAAGTTTCAGCTCCATACAGTAGAACTGCCTTGACGTTCGTATTGAAGATTCTTACTTTGATATTGGTTGAAAGTTGTTTTGAGTTCCATATGTTCTTCAATTGTAGGAAAGCGGCCCTTGCTTTGCCGATCCTCGCCTTTACGTCTGCATCGGATCCTCCTTGTTCATCGATGATGCTTCCGAGGTATGTGAACGACCCCACATCTTCCAGAGTTTCGCCATCAAGTGTGATTGGATTGCTGTTCTCCGCTTTGAATTTGAAGACCTTAGTTTTCCCTTTGTGTATGCTGAGGCCTACTGATGCAGAGACTGCTGCTACACTGGCTGTCTTCATCTGCATCTGTTCGTGTGTACGTGATAGGAGGGCTAGGTCATCTGCGAAGTCCAAATCGTCTAATTGATTCTGAGCTGTCCATTGTATTCCGTGTTTTCCTTCAGATGTTGAGGTCTTCATAATCCAGTCGACCACCAGAAGAAAGAGGAAGGGAGAGAGTAAACAGCCTTGTCTGACTCCAGTCCTTACTTGGAATGCATCTGTCAGCTGTCCTCCATGCATTACTTTGCACTGTAGTCCGTCGTATGAGTTCCGGATAATATTGACAATCTTCTCAGGAACTCCGTAGTGTCGAAGAAGTTTCCATAATGTCCTCCTATCTACACTGTCGAATGCCTTTTCATAATCAATGAAGTTGATGTATAGTGATGAGTTCCACTCAACTGATTGTTCTACGATGATCCGTAGTGTTGCAATTTGGTCTGTGCACGACCGATCCTTACGGAATCCAGCTTGTTGATCTCGAAGTTGGGCGTCTACTGCATCCTTCATCCAGTTCAGCAACAATCTGTTGAAGACTTTCCCTGGTATTGACAGTAGTGTTATGCCTCTGTAGTTTTCACATTTGCTCAGATCTCCTTTCTTTGGAATCTTGACGAGGTGTCCTTCTTTCCATTGATATTTGACTGGTCTTCCCGGTTTCCCACATTGTTCGAACGTTCCATGTACCTATAAAAATTTTTGCTCTGGTTGTTAGAAGGGGCATCGGCCTCGTGGCTTCCGAAGGAACTCGGCTTTCACCATGAAGCGTCATAATTCTTCTAAATGAAGACCTTCTAACTCCCAGGGCAGAGTTAAAATGGTTTGGATTATTTTTTCTGGTAAGCGTTTTTTTAGCGAGTTGGTTTTCTACGGGATGGGGACGCTAACCCCATGCCCAACCCTCCTCCTTTACCCGGGCTTGGGACCGGCAGCAACCCTATAAGAGCTACAGGCGGAGTTATTATCATTACTTATTTTATTCTATTTGTGTTATCATTAACCTTATTTTCACATCCATTATTTGTTTGTAATTTTCCGCCTCTTTGTATTCTTCACTATCTATCTAATTATTTACACACATCTTATTACGTAATGATTTTAATGTTTTGTGATTACTATGCCTAGTCTATTTACCCATGTTTGTTTGACCTTCTATTTCCAACGTTTAACTATTGATAAGAGTGTTGTTATTGTATTTTATTATTCTCACTATTATCAGTTCACCTGTCTTCCTACTACTATCAACTTGTACTTTTACCTATTATGTGTAGTGACTTATTCTATGTCATAGTGATTATTGACCCATATTGCCTTGATTGGTTTAACAGTTTCGTAATAAATATTCATGTATATTAGAGTAAAGCCTGATGACGATCTAATTGAAAACAATATTGTTCGCTTATATGTGTTGTTCTAACTCCGCCTGTAGCTCTTATAGGGTTGCTGCCGGTCCCAAGCCCGGGTAAAGGAGGAGGGTTGGGCATGGGGTTAGCGTCCCCATCCCGTAGAAAACCAACTCGCTAAAAAAACGCTTACCAGAAAAAATAATCCAAACCATTTTAACTCTGCCCTGGGAGTTAGAAGGTCTTCATTTAGAAGAATTATGACGCTTCATGGTGAAAGCCGAGTTCCTTCGGAAGCCACGAGGCCGATGCCCCTTCTAACAACCAGAGCAAAAATTTTTATAGGTACATGGAACGTTCGAACAATGTGGGAAACCGGGAAAACCAGTCAAATATCAATGGAAATGAGGAGATACAACTTAGCAGTACTGGGAATCAGCGAAACCCACTGGACCCAAGCTGGACAGAAAAGGCTAGCTACGGGAGAGATGCTGCTATACTCTGGTCACGAAGAGGACAATGCTCCACACACTCAGGGAGTCGCTCTTATGCTGTCCAAAGTAGCACGAAATGCACTTGTAGGATGGGAATCTCACGGATCCAGAATCATCAAAGCATCATTCAAAACAAAGAAGGAGGGGATCTTAATGAATATTATCCAATGTTATGCACCCACCAATGATAGCAACGACGAAATCAAAGATCAGTTCTACGAGCGGCTGCAGTCAATCATTGAGAAATGCCCAAGAAAGGACCTAACTATTCTGATGGGAGATCTAAATGCCAAAGTTGGAATAGACAACACTGGATATGAAGATATTATGGGACGACATGGACTGGGAGAAAGAAACGAAAATGGAGAAAGATTTGCAAATCTATGTGCATTCAACAAATTGGTCATAGGAGGCACAATATTTCCACACAAGCGTATACACAAGGCTACATGGATCTCACCGGACCACACTACAGAGAACCAAATAGATCATATTTGCATCAACAAGAAATTCCGAAGGACAATGGAAGATGTGAGAACCAGGAGAGGTGCTGACGTAGCTTCAGATCACCACCTAGTTGTAGCCAATTTGAAACTGAAGCTAAAAAAGAACTGGACAAGTGGACAAACAGCAATACAAAGGTTCAATACAGCCTTCCTTCG